AGTGCCTGTGTCCGACAGCACTTCTGCCTGGCTCTTCCGAAAGCCACCACGCCTTCCTGGTGCTGCACACCTCACTGTCCCATCAGGGCTGACAGGGGTTCTAGCTTCTCCACACACCTCCAGCACTCCCTGGGTTTTCAGTCATTCCAGTAGCTAGGAGTAGTGTCTTGCTGTAGTTTTGATTTGCATTTCCCCAATAGTTAGTGGTGCCCAGCATCTTTTTATGTGCTTATTGCCCACTTGCGTAGCTTCTGTGGCATTATCTATCCTAGTTTTATGTTGCCTTTTACAAGTTTTGTTAGATGGTTCAAGTTGTAATTTTCTATTGTGTAAATCTGGATACATTTTTGCAATGACAAACTCTGAACTTAATATTACCTATAGAGAGTAAGAAAAACCTGTAAGAGATGTTTATAAAGCTCTGGCCTAATTATGCATAATTTTCACTGGCTGGGTCTCAATCACATGGCTTTAACCACCTGCAGTGGATGCTGGGAAATGTTTTTGCTGCCCAGAAATTTAAACTGGCGTCCCTGCCATATCCTCTCAACTGTTTGTTATGTTTGCTCAATTATTAGATTTGTGTATCAAGCAATATTTTGAAATAAGCAAAAGTATATATTTTAAATTAATGCATTGTTTAAAAACCTCATTTGATCTAGCGTTGTGTGGCCTGCTCTTTGAGGTTAAGGTCATCAGATAATAGCAGGCTTTCACGTTACAAATACAAAGCAAACCATCAGTGTTACTTTTAATATTTCATGACTTATGTGGTTGCTGCTTCCCGGGGAAGACGGGTGCTCATCTGGGCTGATGCTGTTCTGTAATTAGGACTCAGCAGCCACTCCTGGAAGGCAGCGCCTGTGAAGCTCTCCCGCGCCCTTCAGATGGCAGCCTGGGACCAGGGGATGGTGGGAAGCAGTCTCATCGATTTGGCTCACGGGACAGCTTTTTGTAAAGACGGCTTGAAAACTGGGAACCAAGTGAAAGCAGAGAAGAGTGGCAGAAGGGAAGGGAAGAAAAGAGCAGAGGAGTGGGAGAGACGAGCAGAGAGGAAAGCTGAGGGGGACCATTGGGCTGTGTGGGGCGCAGCCCACTTACTACTGGCCAGTTCCACCTCGGGCAGAGAGGAGGGCGGCACTGAAGCTGGTGGGCACCATGCAGGCCAGAAGAAAGCAGGGCCAGACCTTGAGACCCTTATAACAGCACCTCCCTCATTTCTAAAGTAGGTCAATGTGAACAGGTCTCTTTTTTTGAGACAGGGTCTTGCTATGTAGTCCAGGTTGGCCTTGAACTCACTACAGTCCTTCTGCCTCAGCCTCCCAAGTGTTGGGATTACAGGCATGTGCCATTCTGTCTGGCTGGGAGGCCTTGTAGGTTAGAGGCCTTGGTTAGTCTAAAATCACCCAGAACCGGGAATCCAGTGGTCTCATTTAGAGGCGAGGAAGCTGGGCCTCCTTTACCGCCAAGGCAAACAATGCCTCCATTAGAGACAGAGAGCAGATCACAGCAGAGTCCTTGCTTCAGACCCACAGAGGAGTCTCCCCGCCTTGCACACAGAGCTGTGGGAGCAAAGGCTGCCGCAGGGAACCAGCATTTACCAGAGGTTGCCCTAGTCACACACCCAGAACATTGAGTTGAGAAATCACTGTGGCGCTCAGCTTCCCACCATGGTGAAATCAGAACAAAATGCGGTAAAAAGCCATGTATGTGCCAGGAGCAGGAGAAACAGCCCTACTTTCCTAGTGTTTTTTTTTTTTTTTTTCAAGCTTAGATTCCTGGTGCCTCTAGCCTGTAGATGTTCCTGAGTCAGAATTCTCATGACAAATATTTTCTTTGGTTCTTGTGTGTGCTTGCATAACGCAGACCTCTAAAAGGGTGACTGATTGTGGTCGTGGACTCTGCTACTGTTTCTGCCGCCTGCAGCAGTGAGTTCTGCCCCTGGAAGCCTTTTGAAATGGAGTTCTCTCCTCGGAGAAAGCCCATCAGGCTTCCTTGGTGACCCAGACATCTAGCTCACAAATTTATTCAAGCGAATCACATTGCATGACCCTCCCACCTGCCCACGGATTCTTCCTGGCATTTGGAACTCTGGCCAGATCCCAGGGGTGACCCCATGATGCTCACACAGCCAGCACATTGGAGGGCCCTGGATTCTGTAACTTCTTACATCGTGAACCAAACTTGCATGGTCTCTGACCTTCCCTGAAACCGTTGATACCAATGCTATTCATCAAATGAGGCTTCTTGACAAAGTTTTGCTCTGGAAACGTGGTGGAGAATATTGGGGAACTGGGTTATCCCATCTCTCTGAACATTTCCCATGTTTGCCACTGAGCTAAGGGAAGAAAGGCATGAATAGATGATCAGATGAACATGGGGAAGCTCAGGGCCTCCCTACCTTTGGGTTCTCAGGTCAGCCCCCCTTTCCATCTGTTCCCACCCCATTTGGAACCAAGCTTATCTCTCAGAAGTCCACAGCAGCTTCCTAACCTGCCCGCTGCTTGTCGGCTAAAGTCTCATGTTTAGCGTCCCTGAAAGCCTTATATGTTTGGAAGGTGATTGGGTCAGGGAGGTGGGTCCACTGAGGGTTCACAGCTGATTCACTGTTAGGAGGTTCGGGCCTGGTTAAAGGGGCCATTGCAGACGTGACCAGGAAAGGGGTCTTCTCCCCTGCCTCCTCCTGTCTCTCTCTGCTTCCCAGCTGCCGTGACGTGAGCAGCTTTTCTTCCACAACGCTGATCTGTGCCTGGCCTGACAGCTGTGGACTCAAACTGCTCAGGCTAGGAGCCAAAATAAACCTCTCCTCCTTTAAGTTGTGAGCGCCAGGTGCTTTGTCCCTGTGATGGGGAAGTGACCCCTACTGTTATCTCTGCCTGTATCCCATCAGGCCATCACTGGGTTTACACGAGCGCTTTCTAAAGGTAAAGGGACTGTTATTTTCACAGAGTGACTGCCTTTCTCACGGATATGTTTAGAAACACGCTTTCTTTTTGGGGTCCTGGATGCTGTTTGGAAAGGAAGCTTTCTTTAAAAATTTTATTTTGAAAGTATACAACAGAAAAGACAGAATAAAGCCAATTAAGGTCGTACAGTGAAATTGGTACAGAACTTCACAGCAGGTTACCAGGATAACAGTAATAGGTATCACAGTATATTTTGTTATCTTTATAATAGTTGTTCTTTCATGTATATCAAAATGAGATGAAATATAGAACACTATAGAACTTATCAAAACAATATTGAATAGAGCAGTACCATTAATCAGAAAAGAGCAAAACAGTAATAAAAATATTTGCCTTCAAAGAGATGGTAGAAGGAAGTCCCCCTTATTTGCTATGGTCAACCTCCCAGGAAATGCTCAGATTTCTGGTTCCCATTTGCTAATGGGTGGTGGGGGGGGTAGGGGAAGTGGGATATTTGACTCTAGGCCGTGCATTAGTAGGTTCACTATTGCTTAGCAGGGAGGCAGGCTGGTTGTTTGGTTTCACAGCGTCCTAAGTTCCAACATGGTCTGGATCTCAGGAGCTGCTGCTGGTTCTCCCCCTGGAAGGGCCGCAGTCTGCCACACTGCCACCGATTACCAGGGAGGGGAGGTGCTTGCTTGGCTTCCCAGTGTCCTAAGTTCCAACATGGCGTGGATCTCAGGAGCTGCTGCTGGTTCTCCCTCTGGAAGGGCCGCAGTCTGTCACACTGCCACCGATTACCAGGGAGGGGACGGAAAGGAAGCTTCTTATGAACTTGTTAGCTGGCAAAGTTTCTAGTGAGTCTTTCCTGATACTCACCCAAGAATTCCCCTCCACACTGTCCTGAGGGAGCTTATTCTGAAGGACCTGCTCAACCATCTTCAAGCTCAAATGTCTGTCCACCTCACCAGAGCGGCTTGTGAAAAACAGATTTCTTGGCCCCACACCTAGTGTCTGATTTAGTGGTCTGCAGGGAGCTGGCATTTTTCTTTGCTACCAAGTTCTAGGTGATGTTGATGTTGTCGTCAGGGACTACAGTGTGAGGATCACTGGTTAATCAGGGTTTGCATGATCACAGGTGAACTTCTTGGATTTGACATAAAACTCTGCCCCTTCGAGGGATGCGACTCCTCTTCTATGGTTGTTTCCTTATCTGGGTCTTGGCAAGGTTTAGCGTCAGAGAAGCTTGTTAGGCATTAGGACAGGTGCATAATGAGCATGGTATATGAGCTTTTAAAGCAAGAAGGTAACTTCTGCGTTCCTGGTACATGCTATAGTGCTAGTGGACAGTGGCACAGATGATGCGTTCAGTTCATTCTTGGAGAGCACTGGTCAGAATTCAATGAGATGCCTATAATTCCAGCTCTCTGGGAGGCAGAGGCTGTAGATCACAGATTTGAGCCCACTTTGGGCAACTAAGCAACTGAGAGAGCTGCAATCTCAAAATTAAAAAATTGATAAAACAAATAGGGACTGGGCCTGTACTTATGTAAAGCTTCAGTATTACCAAAAAATATACTGATGGAAGGTCATGATGGAAATCTTTAACCAGCATCCCGGGAGAAGATCCAGGCTCAGGTCCATCTGTACTGCCTCAGTTCAGGCAAAAGCCCAGTGAGACTGCGCTGTGTGAATCTGGCAGTGTGAACCACTGCCTGGTTCCCCGTGACCTTGTCTGCCCCTATCCAGGGAGTGGCTCTGGGGTGAGGCAGTTGATAAAAGAGCCGAGAGCTGACTCATGCTTGTGGGATAGCTGTGGGCCAGTGGTTCCCAGCCATGCAAGCCACAGTGTTTTTGAAACCCACGGAGACCTGCCTCTGTGGGCTCCAGGGTGACCCCAAGGTGGCGGTGGTGGTGTCAGCAGGAGGTGTGGGGAGGAACCGACCCACGAGAGACTCCGTCATCCAAGCTGAAGACCTCTCCTGCCCCCAGCTCCCTGGGCGATAAGCAAGGCCTGGACACCAATGCATTCCTGTTCTGAAGTTTCCTCTTGCAAAAAGCCGTGTCTTCACTGAGAAGGTGAGATGTAAGCAGCCCGCCTTGCTTTTTAGAAACTGTGTCATCAGCAGTTATTTAAAACACTCCTCAGCAGGGATTGTGGGTTTTTCTATTTTCCTTTTATTGTTATTACTTTATAACATACTTGGTTTTTGAAAGAGTTTTTGGCGCGATTAAAGAGGAAAATATAAAGTAAAAAAGTAGCCTTTATTCCAAGGACATAGAAAGGAGTCTGTGACCATGGATGGCCTGGGTCCCTCTGCCCAGAACGTAGGGTATGGGATACACATATAACCTCTGACGGGTTTGGTGCTCAGGGAGGGCGTTGATGACGCACGAGGAGATGATTGGAACTTTTTCACAGGCACTGGGAAAGAAAAAAGGATTGTGATAGGGGAAGAAGGAAGTGACCTCAGGGTAAACATCCCTTGATCCCGTCTCCCACCACTGTAACATGGTGTAGCTTATTCTAGGGCAAAACTCTTTCAGTTTTGATGTGTGTGATATACACAGATGATCATGTGCACCCCTGCTGTTAGCTTCCTTTACACCCCTCAACTCCTTGTTACCTTCTAATATGAGTCTCCCTTTGACTTTCATGTCATCTTTTTCAGATTCCACATGCTAGGTGAATGTATTTGTGTCTCTGAGTGGTTTGTTTCATGCAATACAACAATTTCCAGTTCTAGTCATTTTTTCTGCAAATAACAAAATTTTATTGTTCTTTATAAAAGACTGATACTCAAGTGTGCATACGGATCACATCTGGAAAATGCACCTATCTGTTTATGGGCACCGAGGCTGCTTCCACATCTTGGCTATTGTGAGCTGCACTGCCACAAGCGTCGGTATACAGGTCTTGTCTCCTCCACTCTCTGACTCCTGGGTTCATACCAAGGAGTGGAAAGGACGGGTCAACCCGTAGCTCCATTTTACGTTTCTTGAGAACCTTCACACTGATTTCCACAGGGGTTGCGCTGATTTGCATGACCGCCTGGAGCACAGAAGCTTTCCTTTCCCCCACATCCTTGTCAACACTGATGGTTTTTTGCATCCTTATGACAGCCATTCTGATTGCAGTGGAATCTCAGTGTAGTTTTGGTTTTGCATTTGCCTGACCATTAATACTCTTTAACTTTTTAAAATATAATTATTGACCATTTGTACTTCTTTTGAGAAATGTCTGTTCAATCCATTTGCCCATTTATTGACTGGGTTATTTCATTTTTTGGTGTTAGGTTTTTCGAGTTCTTTTTAGATGTGAATCCTCTGTGAGAAGAGTAGCTGATAAAGATTGTCTCCCATTCTGAAGGCTGTCGCTTCACTCTGCTTTGCTGGCACAAACTTTTTAGTTCAATGCAGACCGTTTGTTGATTTTTCCTATTCCTTGTTGTGCTTCTAAAGTCTTATTTGGGAAGTCTTTGCCTGAGCTATGGTTTCGAGTGTTTCCCCTATGTTTTCTTTTAGCAGTTTCAAAGTTCAGGTCTTGTACCTTGATTTTTGATCAATTTTGAATGATTTTTGTACCAGATGAGAGATAGGGTACTATTTTCAATTTTCTCCAGGTGTATATCCAGTTTTTCCAGCATAGTTTGTTAAGGAGACTGTCTTTTCTCCAACATATACTTTTGGCTTCTGTTATAGGTTAGGTTTACAATATTCTCTAGAGCTCTCACGTTCAGAGGCCAGGGTTCTGGAATGTGATTGGATCATGGTGGTGCTGTATTCATCCACCGATGCTGAAAGTGACATCAGAAGGTGGCCCCTGGTTAAAGGACGTGAGTCACCAAGGGTACTACCCAGAGGAGGTTATTCCTGTTTCTGGCTGCTTCCTTCTTTATTGCTTCCTGGCTGTCATGGAGTGAGTGGCATTCTCTCACCTGGGCTCTCTGTCTTGCATTTTCTGACTTGGAACCAATCAATCTGGACTGAGAGCCAGAGTAAATTCTGCTTTTTAAAGTTGCAGGTGTTGGATATATTGCTCCAATGACAGAAAAGTGATTAACACAGAAAATGGTAAGCAGAAGGGAGGCCATTGCTGTGATGGTCCTGATTATTGGTTCAGAAGTCAGTGGAACTGGTTTGTGGGAGGAATTTGAAAAGTTTTGGAGATGATGGCTAGAGAAGCTTTAGAATTCTGTAAGCAGAGCTTGATGGGGGCAGTTCTACTTGGAGCTGAGTAGACCAGAATGCTGATAGTAGTGTAGACAGTAAAGGTCAGGTTCAGGCGCTTTCAGCTGGGAATAAGGACTCCACTGGCTTAGGGGCAATGTGCGTTATACTCTGGTGAAAATTGGTTTCATTTTGCCCAAGTCAAAAACTTTGCAGGAGACTGAGATTAAGGGAAATGGACAGAGGAAGTTTCTGGCAGAGGAAGTTTCTAGATAGTCCAACATTTAGGCTGCAACTTGGGTACTACTAGCTTTTTCTTCTTCTTCTTCTTCTTCTTCTTCTTCTTCTTCTTCTTCTTCTTCTTCTTCTTCTTCTTCTTCTTCTTTTCTTCCTCTTTGTCTTTTTGAGACAGGGTATCACTATGCAGTTTAGGCTGGTCTTGAGCTCACTTTGCATCCCAGGCTGGTCTTGAACTTGCAATGATTCTCCTGCTTCAGGCTCCCAAGTGCTGGGATTACAGGAGTACACCACCACATCTGACTCTATACTGCTAATTTCTATTAGACAGATTTATATCAAGAATAGGGGACAAAAGACAAAGCTGAAAAACTGAGAAAACTTGAATTTTCCCCTAGAAGGAGCTACATGTAAATTTAGGATCAAAAGAGGTATTGCTATTCAAGAAACTGGTGCCATTTAAAAGGAATCAATTACTTTGCACAAGGACAAAAAGAAAGGTGCCGCCGGGCGTGGTGGCTCACACCTGTAATCCCAGCACTCGGGTCATAGTATAGTGAAATATTTAACTTCCTTTTTAGATTTTGCAGTTGTTCATAGCTAAGAGTCTGACTTGTGTATCAGAGGAGACTTTGATTTTGACTTTTCAGCAGTGCTGGAGTTGTTAAAACTTGATGACTTTGAGAGATGGACTGAATGCGTTGTTTATAGTGAGATGAACATGAGTCTTAAGTACGAGGGCCACAGTGTTGTGGTTTAGCTCTAAAATGTGCTCTTAAAGTCTCATGTTCAGAAGTGTGGCCTGGGGAATGTGACTGGATCACGGGGACTGATGAGTTCATAGCTGAGTGCATTGTTTAGGGTGGGGCCTGGTTAAAGGAGGTGGATCACTGAGAAATGTAATCAATATGTACTGCAAACATGTGCCAATAAAAATGAAACATTAACTAGAAAATGAAGTGAGTCACTAGGGGTGCTACCTGGGAGAGAGGATCCTCATCCCTGGCTTCCACCTCGCTGTGCTTTCTGGATGCCACAAGGTGAGTGGCTTTTCACCACCAACCGTGGACTGAGTCCTCAGAAACCATGAGCCAAAATGAACCCCTCCTCCTGAAGCTGCAGATGTTGGGTGTTTTGTTCCAATAATGTGACTAATACAGCTCCTTTGCCCAGAAAAGATGGGTGAGGTGGCATGGCTTGGTTCCCATGTCCTTTGTACCTTGGGTCTATGTGTCTGTTTTTAAGCTGGTACCATGCTACTCTTGTTATAAGTAACTTTGTACTATATTGAAATTGATTATTGCGATGCCTCCCAGCCTAGTTTTTGCTTAGGATTGCTTTGAGTACTGTGTGTCTTTGTGTTTCCATATAAATTTTAGGATTTTTTTCTAGTTCTGTGAAGAATGCCATAGGTAATTTGACAGGTGGTTGCATTAAGCCTGTAGGCTGGTTGTGGTGGTATATCTATTTCAACAGTTTTAATTCTGTTGATGCATGAACATGGAAGGCCTTTCCAACCCCCAATGTCTTCTTTAATTTTCTTCTTCTTTAGTGTTCTGAAATTTTCATTGTAGAATTCTGTTACCTCCTTGGTTAGAATAATTCCCAGATATTTTATTATTGTGAAGTGGAATTGTAAGTAGAATTGTCTTCCTGATTTTTTCTTCAGTTAATTGTTGGTGTTTAAAACACTATTAATTTTTAATGTTGATTTTATATCCTGCTATTTAGCTGCATTTGTATACCAGCTTAAAACTCTTTTGGTAGAGTCTTTAGGATCTTCTAAGCATGAGACTTAAGTTGTAATGGTAAATAACAGAAACTTAAAACATATTTAAACTCTTTAAGATGTAATTGAATACTATGACTCAAGCATTAAATCTAATTTTGAAAGAAGGTAAAAATCAGAGCATTTAGAAAGAGTTCTTAATTAGAAAATCATGACAGCAAATGCAGGGACAATTTTGAACAAATGATTTTGACACCAGGAACAATAAATTCAAGGCAGGTGCATTAGCAATAAGCTACATAGATGCTGTTTTAGTCAGGGATTGGGAGGAGAACAGTTAGAATCAGGACATGGAGTTTCTATTATTTTTTATGATGGTCACCAGGAGTTAACACAAAAAAATGCAGGAAATCTATCCACAACACCAAAGACATAGAATATTTAGCCAAGGGCCTGAATCCCACAGCAATGTTCTACATGAGTCCAGATGTAGACCTAGAGCTCATGACAGTGCCTCCCACGAGTCCAACTGGAGGTCCAGAACCCACAAAGACTTACACCAGTGTCTTTTGCGGATCTGTGCCGGGGAGGCCCTAAGGTCAGCGGTAGAGCCAGAAAGTCCATGGCAGAGTGTGAAGGAGCTGTGCTGGTGGGATGAGGATTCTACATTGGAGCCGTGAAGTCACACTCAACAAAGACCAGGGCTGTCCTGAAAAGCACCACAGCCATCCTCAGTGACATGGAGACCCCAAGCTCCGACAATGACAAGCATAGTCAGGTACATGCCAGGAAGCCAGCGTGACGAGTTCATCCTGGAAACCAAGCAGCACATGTCTTCCCCTCCAGAGCCAGGAAGCAATGCTCGATGTGAGGACCAGAGCTTCTCCAGGAGAACCAACGGCTCAAACAGCAACTCGTAGAACCCACAGTGCCTCAATGCCTCAGAGCAACAGCTTTTCCTTCTCCACTTCTCTATTTATGCTGGCAGCTTTCCTCAGGTGGGACATCTACACTCAGCGCCATGCTGATGTAATCCAGCTGGCGTTAAGTTGACCACCAGTTCTTAATCCATAACAGATGGCCATGTGTATAAGACACAGGCAAGGTTAGTTTCTTGCTCTCCCTCAATTGCAAGGCTGAAAAATGCTCTTCCATTGTTTTCTTTCAATGTCAGTGGTTGATTCTTTTGTTCCACATGCCTGGTCATTGCATTATGAACAAAGAAACTTTTCCCATCCTACTTTGGCTCTCAAAGTGTATTGATTTTTAATTGTTTGGAGTCAATTTTCTATTCAACAATATTTTATTCAGCATGAGAGGTAGAACCCATTTAAAACATTTATAGACTTGTTTCTCCAGGGGAAATCACAAGCTAGATAGAAAAACCAGATTATTTGATGACAGTCCAATGGCATCTGAGGGTTTGAATGCAGAAGTGTCGTTTTGCTTTTTCAAGCAGCCACTGGAAGCCATTTATGAAGTTATGTCCTGCCAATTTCTGTCCACTCTTCAGAGAGAGAACATTTTCTGAAGAATCAAAATGAGTGGGAATCTGCCACAGTTTTGTAAGAGACAAAAAAGAGGAGATAATATATAAAGCTTTCCATTTATGCATACAAGCATGAATACATTAATGAATCTTACTATGATGTTGCATTTTAAGAATTTTCTTTTTGTGTTCACTTTTTTCTTTCTTTTCCTCTCAAAACACAAGTAGCTTATGGTGACAGTATGTGAGTTGCACTGTTTACTGCATGCATGCTTGTGGGCATGTATGTGCGCACGCACACACACAGATTTTCTTCATTCTTACAAAAAGAACAATAAAATAGATGCTTTTCTGTTTTTGGCTTTATTTGTAACTGGTCATAGAATTCTCTAGAAGCCATCATCAGTATGGTTCCAGTTCATTCTTTTTGATGACTGTGTATATCACTCAGGGTTTACTAGAGAAACAGATATAACACAAGATATACAACAGTATAAGAAATTACAAATTGGCTTACAATGGTCAGCCACAGAGTCAGACGAGGGAGCGTGCAAAGGTGGTCTGTGCGTTGGAAGGGGAAGGGTCTGGCCCAAAGGCTGGAGTGCATGCAATGTCCCTGCAAGTCCGTGTCAGGAGGCCGAAGGGTCTGCAACGGAACACTGAAGAGTCTGCATTGGAAGGCTGAAGAGTGGAGGCTCTGAAGGACTTTCCAGGAGGACGGAAAAGCACAGGGCTCCTTCCCAGGGGTCCAGTCCTTCACCCCACCCGGTGGCACACCCAGCTGGGAGTCAGAGGGAAACAGGAGCGTCAGGCGTTTCGGCATGTTTCCCATTGACCTGAGTATTTTCCCTCTCAAAGTGTCTGCATCCAGTGTTTTGAGCATCTCTCTACCTGCCTGCCTGTCTCTCTTACTAAGTGATAGTTCTTCACATATTCTGGAGATAATCTTTTTTTCACACTCATGTGTGCACACACACACACTCACATACACACACACAGAGCTCATTATGAGCAGTTTGTTGTTTTCTCTCCGAATTGTTCTGTGTGTGCAACTTGTATATTTATACATATGTATGCAAAAGAATCCTCCTGCACACATAAATGTGTCTTTCTATATTTTACAAAATGGGAGCTCTGCCTTCCCTCACTCTTCAGCTTTTAAAAAATTCACCCATATACTTGGGCAGTCTTCCAGACCATTGAGTGGTGTATTTTTTTCATTCTTCTTAGCACTGAACAGCATTGCATGCAATGCCTGAACCACAATTGTACTTTTTTTTTTTTTAATCGGCACTGGGGATCGAACTCATGACTGCCTGGTTGCAAGGCAGGTGCTTATGCCACTGAGCTAAATCCCCAGCCCCAATTGTACTGTTTTTGAAGTCCATTTCATTTCAAGGATAAAAAGAAGAAGAAGAGGAGGAGGAGGATGAAAAAGAAGAAAAAGAA